TACATCTGATCCGTGTTTCTCCTGCAAAAGGCACCATATTTGTAGAACAGGTAGAAGCTGCCCAGAAAGCGTGGAGCCCTCGGCTCCCCGAGCTCCTCCCCGCCAGGAGTGAGTCTGCTCCCTGGTGGCCTGTGTCTCCTTTCCCGAAACTTCTGGGCGAAACTTCCGGGCGGGCGCTGATCTGCTCTGGAAGCACTCGCTCACGGGGCCCCTCCTCCTCCCCAAAGCAGTCAGTCTTGGAGCTGGGAGATTGGCGCAGACTGAGTAATCCTCACTGTGGCCACACGCGGACTGTGAGCTGCACCCCCCCCAGGGTGCCAGCAGCTGCAGCTGCCTGTGTGAACTGCACACGTCATCTCAGAGTCCGAGATGAAGTCAGTGCTGTCACGGTCCCATTGTACAGAAGAGGAAGCTGAGGCTCAAAGAGGTGACGTGACAGGCCTGAGGTCACTCTGGGTCAGAGGCAGAGTTGAAGTTAGGGCTTTGCAGGCAGGTTTGGGCGTTTGTGCCGCTCACACTGGCACCAGTCTGCCAGGATGCCGGTCAGACGTCGAGCCCTTCAGACTGGGGTCCCCTGCACCCCCACCCAGATTCATGGAGGCCATCCCATCAGCTTTCGGCCGGGGAGGCTCTCTGGAGCCACCTTGGTCAAGTGTTTGTTGCCTTGAGGAGAAACGGAGGCCCAGAGCTGGGAAGAGACTTGCCCAGGCCCTGGGGCCTTCACCGGCCTGGCCCGTGGGCGTGTCCCCTCTGCGGAGTGACTGCCCTTCGGAGGAAGTCCCAGACCCATCCTGAGGTGGCTGTGTCTGCTAGGGCCAGGACAGCGTGCGGTCCTGCCTGGGTTCTGAATTGTGGTGTGTGGCCTGGGTTTGAGTCCTGGCATCTCCATTGCTCCTCCTGGACCCCTCACTGCCCTGAGCCTCACTTTCCTCGTTTGCCAAGTGGGCTGGATGCAGCCCTGCCTCGGAGGCCTTCATGGGTGAGCGCGGAGGCACCCAGGCCCGCTGTCACCTTGTCAGAGGACCCCTCGGCCTCGTCGGCCTCACTCCCGCCCTCCTCCCTCCCACAGGTGCCGCTGGATGAACGCATCATCTTCTCGGGGAACCTCTTCCAGTACCAGGAGGACAACAAGAAGTGGAGGAACCGCTTCAGCCTCGTGCCCCATAACTATGGGCTGGTCCTCTACGAGAACAAAGTGGTGAGGCCGCCACTCCCTCCGCTGGGTGCCCGGTGCCCTCACTGAGCCCCGGCTCCTCCTCCAACCCCAGCCAGGTCTTCTTCCCCTTCTCCTTGGCCCCTCCCCTCCCCAGCTGTCCTCCTTCATGCAAGCCCCCTACTCCTAAGTCTGAGACTCCAGACCTCCACCCTCACCTGCCACCCACCATCCCCCGTCCCGTCACCAGGGCCAAAGCAGAACCTCAGCCCCCCCCCAACCTTCCCACCTCCCCATAGGTTCCCCTCTAACTTTCATCCATCCAGGCATCCAGCTCTGGTTACCCCAGAACTAGCTCACTAGCTCCTACGTACGCATCCCTGCGAATCTCTCTCCAGTTCTTCCAAATCCCCATTTCCAGGGCCTCCTCCAACTCAGCTGCCCCCACCGCAGCCTGGGCTTCCTGCCACTCAGCTCCGCAACAGCCTCTCCCTGGGTGGTGGTCTGGTCTTTTCCTTCCTGGTTATCCCCTCGCATTTCCCTGCCCTGCAGCGGGAGGGATGTGTCCTGCGGAGTGTAGTCTCTTTGCCTTGGGCCCTTGTGGAAGCCCCACCTGGCTGAGCCACAGACCCAGTTTCTTCTACCAGACATGTCTCCAGAGAAGCCAGAAGGACAGGCTGGAGCCCTGTGCAGGGCAAATCAGTGTAAAAGTAACCAGGTCAGGAGCAACCTGTTGCCGCAGGGCAATGGTTCACAAATTGGTAGAATTCCATCAGAATGACCTGGAAGGCTTGTTTTAAAAAAAAAGGCAGGTTGCTGGTCCTGCCCCCGTTTGATCCAGGCCTGAATCTCTATGTGCATTTCTAACCAGTTCTCAGGTCTGGACCACACTTGGCCAGTAACTAGTGCAACCCTCCCCCCCCCCCTCCCGGGCCCCCCCCCCCCGGAGAAGGTTTGACCATCCTCAAGGAAGTGGTCGGGGGGGAGGCTCCAAGGGGCGAAGGTGAGGGGGGGAGGCCTCTGTGATTAGACGCTACAACAGAGGAAAAACACAATTTTTCCCCCGCTGGGAAAGGAAGCAGTGCCCAGCTGAGGGGTGTCGGGCGGGGCTTGTGTGCTTTTCATATTCCTTTCCTTGGTGGACAGTTCAGGGAAATGGTCAGACACCCTGGGCTCTGGAGGCTGACAGTCCAGGTTCATGTCCTAGGTCCCCACTTACCAGCTGTGTGAACTTGTGGCTAATAATGGCACCCACCTGCTGGATTGTGCAAATTCTGTGAAACGAAGCATGCGGTACCCGTAGCACAGTGCCTGGTAGATAGTGAACACCTGGCTGGGGATACCTGCTGATAACAGAGGCAGCAGTCGCAGTAATGATAATAACCTCCGTGTGCTCACTGTCCCGCTGTGCCCGGCACCGTGCTAATCACTTCCTGTGGATTATCTGCTCAGTGAGGTGGGGGTCATTACTATCCTGGTTTTATGGGTGAAGACCCTGAAGCATAGGAGGTGGAGCAACCTTATCTTCAGCATCACACAGACGGCACTCGGTGGTGCCAGGATTTGAGCCCAGAGCCTGGGTTCAGGTCACTATACCATGTTGACCCTCGTCACCGGGTTGGTTAGACTCCTCTTCCTCTTCCCTGTGTGTCTCTTCTTCCTTCCCCTCTTCTCCTCCCGCCTTGGGCAGCAACACAGAGGAGGGTCCTGGAGTCAGAGCTGGAGATGGGATTGGCTTGGGCGTTACCTGTAACCCTCAGGGACCATCTCTCTCGCCCTCTCCGCAGGCCTATGAGCGGCATGTGCCACCCCGAGCTGTCATCAACAGTGCAGGCTACAAAATCCTCACCTCCGTGGACCAGTACCTGGAGCTGGTTGGCAATTCCTTACCAGGTAAAGGAGCACCCATCCCAGGCCTGCACAGGCCCAGGGATTTGGCCTGCACAGGCCCAGGGATTTGGCCCAGGGAGAGGGCAGCCCTGATCCCGGAGCTCCAGGCTCCACATTTGCAGAAAGACCAGCTGGGCCTGGAGCTGCGGGCAGGTGCCCAGCATGAACTGAGCCCAAGAGAGGAGGCCCGAGGCCACGCAGTGAATCCAGGCTGGACCCGTGCCCGCCCCCCCCCTTGTCCCAGAGTCCCCCTCTGCTTCCTGAAGCTTATGATCACAGCTGTGCACTGGGGACCTCACTGTCTCTCCTTCCTCTTCCCCGAGTCCTTGAGAGACTCCCAGGAGATGATCGGGGTGACCCTGCTTTGTAAACTGCTGAGTCAATACTGCATTTTCCAGGAGTTATTCTCCGAGTCCTGTGCACCCCACCTTGTCACAGACCCCCAGAAGCCTTACAGGGGCACAGCTGCCTCTCAGGTGATCCCAGGGAACTAAAGAGGGGAGGATGCTGGCCTGGGGGGCAGCATGGGCCCCTACATGGGACTTGCGACTACAGCGCCCTGTAGCTGAGAGCTTAGCTGGAGTGAGCATTCCTGGATCCCAACCCGCACTCTGGTTTTGTTTTTGCTGTGTCTTTTTGGGCAACACAGCACTGAGAAGCCTGACCTTGGGGTGTTGTGTGGACCCCATGAGGTCTGTGTGTGCCGAGCCCAGCACGGGGACACAGACAGAGCCAGGGCACAAAGAAGAACCGTCATTGTTTTGTTATTAACAACAGTGGCGAGGTCGCAGCCCAGGACCCCTTATCTCACTGGATCTCAAATATCCATGCAGACAAAATAGAGAGAGAAAAATGCCTTTTTATTTTTCCTGTCCCCCACCCCCAGGCCTCCCTTCCCCCTTGGACATTTAAGCCACACTTTGGCCTCCATAGCTAACATTCGAAGGGAAACCCAAGAAGGTAATGCTCGGCCTTTGAACCCGAGGGCTCTGACCCTGTGTTATCAGTGCCTCCCACAGGAGCTCAGACCTTCCCCAAGAGGGGGGCATGCACTGCATCACCAGCTAAGAAATGGGCCTAAACAGACGCCGGGGCCCCGTTAGCCACGCTGTGGAGGACGCGGCAAGAGAGGATGCTGCCTCCCCTGGACAGGCAGCCCTCTCTGGGCTGGAGCTGACCCTCAGATCGGAACTTGCAGAGGGCAGCTGCTCAGGGGGCACTGTCTACACAGGGATCACATCAAAATCAGGCACTGCCCCCATCCTGAAGTGCCCCACGCAGTTCCCACTCATCCTCTGGCACCCTTCTGCACGGCACTACTACTTCTGCATGATGACGGAGGCCGAGCAGGAGAAGTGGCAGGCTGTCCTGCAGGACTGCATCCGGCACTGCAACAATGGTGAGTGGGGGTGAGGGGCATCACCTGGGTTATATGTTGAATGGTGACACCTACTGGCTGAGTGTGTTATGGCACCCCTGCTCTATGAGCTATTCTCTTTTCCTTCCGGACTTGTAAGAAACCATGGTGATGCTACCCTTAACCTTCTTCCTTTTTTTTTTGTCTTTCTTCTCTCTCTTTCTCCCCCCCCCCCCTCTCTCTTTTAACCTTCTCCCTTGATGAAAACAATTCTGTGTTGCCCTGACCAGGTGGCTCAGTTTGTGGGAGCATCATCCTGTACACCAAAAGGTTCCGGGTTCGATTCCCAGTCAGAGCACATACCGAGGTTGTGGGTTTGATCTCCAGTCGGGGCACGTGATCTATGTTGATCTCACATTGATATCTCTCTCTCTCTCTCTCTCTCTCTCTCTCTCTCTCTCTACCTCCCTTCCTCTCTCTCTAAAATCAATAAACATATATCCTCCGGGTAGGATTAAAAAACCCAAAACAGACAAAAAAAATAATTCTGTGTTGTTCAGAAAAAAATCTGAACTTGCTGTCAGAGGGGCGTGATTGTTATGCCCTTGGACCCAGGATCACAGAATCACAGTCCGGATTCTGCCACCTTCTAGCACCGTGACGTTAGGAGACTGACTGACTCCTGGGAGCCTCTGAAAATAGGGATAGAATCCCTCCCCCGCCTGGGGTTTAGTGAGGATTCACAATGAGAATCCATGCAATGCTTGTAAAAAGTGGTTTTTGCTGCATCATTTCTTCCCTTACACTGACCCTAGGTGCTCTGGGAAGTTTACCTCCTCCCTCAGGGCCTCAGTGCCCTCAGCTGTGAAGTTATGAGGCCTCTTTCAGCCCGCCCAAACGTTTGGGTGCTAAGGATGCATCAAGGGAGGAAGAGGTGGTCCCAGCACCCGAGCTGCTGGCAGCCCGCTGGGGGAGACAGATGTGAGACAGATGAGAATGCCAGGGGTGATGAATCAATCACAGCTGTGCTGGGTGCTGGGGAGGGAGCTGCCCGGGGAGCCTTGAGGGTGTGAATGTCCTGGGGCGGAGGGGGTACTGATGCAGTGTGCGGGGAGCTCTGTGAGGAGGTGATGGTTCAGCTGAGACCTGAAGGATGAATTGACCCTCAGCAGAGCGAGGAGAGTTTCAGACAGAGGCCGCCGCCGAGTAAGGGGAGGCCCAGAGGGGAAGCAGTTGAGAGGAGCCCTGAATTGGGGACAGGGTGACCTGAAATGGGGTTGCCGGGGACACTGTGGTCGGGAGAGCCTGCGGAATTGGATCAAAAAGGCTGTGATTGTCTTGAGGGGACGGTGGGGCCCTGAGGGAGGAACAACCCTGTCCTGGTCCCCGACTGCCTTCCTAGTGACCTGGCTTTGGGGCAGCAGAGGGAGGCACTGTGCCAGCCCCGCCCACCCTGCGGCCCGGCCCACCTTGGACTGGGCTCCACACAGAGGTGGACGGACGGTGTGGCACCCACGCCCAGAGGCGGCAGTCGTGGTGCCTGGGCTCACCCCACTTGTCCTGTAAACTCTCCAGAGCCGCCTCTGCCGTCTGGAATCTGCCAGGCCCACCCCTGCCACCGGCCGGGCCCCGCCGCCCACAATGGGCCTCCTGTTCCCAGGTCCCCCGGGGCTGTGGGGCCAGGACTGGGTGGAGGCCATCTGGGCTCTGGCTGCCCGGCCTGGGCACCCTCCCTGCTCCTTCCTCCTTCCCTCCCTCCCCCTCCAGGTTTCTAAGGCTAATGGCTGACCTGGCAGGGTGACCCCAGGCCCAGTGGGGAAGTCACTGTTTGGGACCCCCTTTGCACAGTGTGGGGTTCAGGTAGAGCGCTTGGCCCAGGCCTGGTACATAGTGAGTGCTCAGCTGGGAGGCGAGGGCAGCCAGGGGTGTCTGTGCCCGGGAAGGGGGAGGCCGGCAGAGCTGGGGAGGGAGTAGGGGTCCTGCTGCTGTAAGGTGGTCCAGAGCTGCCAGGGTGTGAGGCGAGCCTTTCCTCCACCCAGGACTGTGGCATAGGGCTCTGCTTCCTTTAGCTTGGAGGCGGGGCCAGGATTTGTAGGAGCCTGGAATTGCTCACTGCTCAGGGCTGCCAGGAAGTGGGGGGTGAGGAGTGGGGTGCTGTAAGATGAGGGAAGACGACCAAGCATGGGTGGTAGCCAGCTCATCCCAGAGTCCACCCTTACGATTGCTATATTACGTATTACATGAGGATAGCCAGTAGATGAGAACATACTTTTTTCTCTT